GCAAGTACAGATAAGTTTTTACAATAAAATTCTTTATACTTAGCTTATTTATAGTATATTCTTTATGACTAAAAAAATAATTTTAGATACTAATTTCGGATTTAGCGATCTATTCATTCATAAATTATTTAGTATGAGCCAAGGACCGATCGATTTACTGGAAATCATGAATGATTAGTAAAGAGAAGGGATATATACTTCATAGATTTTTATTTCACTTCGATACTGCCAATTTATAAGAAAAAAAATATTAATATAAAAATATATCTCTCAATTGTGATCTCAAGAATAGCATTAGGAAAATGGTGGACAATTTATGTCTCATGTTCATGAGGGCCTAGCAAAAATTCTCTAAACAAGTGCTTACTACCCGACCCTCCTTTTGATATTTATTTCTGAATTTCAGCTAATATTGCATCAATTTTAACTAACATTGAATCTATTTTTATTGTTTGAGATGATGAAGAAGCCTGTATTTGGGGTTTTGAACTGTCGCCTGTCTCTGGTTCAGAGTCAGACTCCTCTGATTCTGTATTGCCTATAGCGTAATTTTTTCCTGCATCTAGACGGACAATCTTATGTCTCAATGCTATTCTGTTAAGAAGATCAAGATGCTGATGAGTTGGGTTTGGTCCACCATAGACTCTGCAGGCATGCTTACCTCCTATTTTTCTTAATATTTTAGATATAATTTTATAAGGCTTCAGGAATTCACTAAATGCTCTAGTGTTCTGCTTTCCATTTTCACTAAAGGTAAGGTCACCCAACTTTCTAGCCTTTATAGCTTTTTGAATCCAGATGAGTAGTGTTCTTGCATATTCTGGATTCTTCTCCATGGCAAGAAATGGGCAAGGCTCTGGATTATTCTTATTTTCTCCTTTATTCTTAGCATATCTAGTACAATACTAAGAATAACCATTTTTATACCATACTGGAGGACTGGAAGGGTCAACTTCATAGTGATTGATCTGGAGGCTAGATACTTCAGTCGGCCTCATACACAACATCATCATTATATCTGCAAGATCCTGTAATTAGAGATCATTAGTAGTATCGATATTCTGAATCCTTTTAAGTCCCTTTTCTAAGAAGAAATACGGTAGAATTTTTAACTGATTATTGGCTACATCTCACTCAGTCCGTTCTTTCTGAATTCTGTTAGAAGCTGTAGTAACATTCAAGTCTTTGGCATAAGTATCAATTAGTTCACGAGCAATACTAACTTTTAGCAATTCATTACGAAATAGTGAGAGCTATGAACAACCGGCGACAATTTCTTTATCGTCATTACTTTTTGGACCTATGTCACGAGAATAAATGAAAATATCCCACTTATCACCAGTCTTAGCACAATATTTTGCTCTTTCCTCTATGGTGAGTTTTTCTTTTCTCTTATCTGGTACGAGAGCTTCTATTTGCACTTTGCTAAATGCGCGTCTTTTATCAGTGCATCTGGCAAAGAGATCTTTAACACACTTGTGGGCCTTCCAATTATGCAATTGAACATTAAGTTCTAGAGCATGTTCTCTTAATTGTTTTAGAGTGGAGTCGGCCGTCAAATTATGCTTTTCTAGGAACTGCTCTAAAACCAATACAAAGTTATTAGTTTTGGGCTTTCGGGTCTTTGGAGTGGTTGCTTTAGTAGACATGTCAACGATAAATAGATTGCAATTATTACCTAGTTATACTAATCTACTTATTTTTCAATTAGAAAAAAATAATTAATAATTTGGGATTTTATTTTGCCTAATTGTAAAGAACCCTCTTATCCAAATACCTCACTTGTAAACTGGCTTCTTATTCATTCTTTATCAAAGCATACCGTTCTCTTGAAGTATGCTTATATTTTTTTGCCATTCCCCATCGGTATCGAGCCATAAGGATGTGATTCCTTTTTCCTCAAGTTCACGCCAGATAATCTCTTCTCCTATTAATCTTTCTCGTACTGTTATTTTCATATTTTCATTTGGGTCTTCTTCACTCTCTTTTGCATAACCGCACATTCATATATCCATTTCCATTTATAACAAAATGCAGTAGAATCGAGCCTGTCCTTTTCTGTGATAGTTACAAATATATCAGGATCTTCACCAAGTTCGATTGCCCTTTTTCTAAGGCACTCTTCATGCTGGGCCTGCTCAGAAGTATTGCAAATGATACTTCATTGATAGGCTTAGAAGAATCAGTTTCTTTAGAAGGCGTATCAGGCACCACTTCACTTATAAGTTCAATAGGTTCAGGAAGCTTGCTAGTTTCGAGCTGGTCTTTTGAGACCACTCAACGATTTTTGGCTCAGATAGATTAGACATCTTAGAAGTTTCGAAAGTCCCAGATGTTGAAGCAACTGGTGCTTTGGCTTCTTCTTCCATATAGTCAAATAGAGCTTGGGTTATATTGTCCTGTTTATCTACTTTCTTATTACTAGAAGAGAGATTCTTTTTTGCCTGAGGCGGGATTATTTTTGGAGGAATAATTTCTAGCACATTGAATATGGGTATGTCTGCTGTCCTATTTTCAGGTAAGTCAAGTTGAGGTGTATCAGAAAATTCTTCGATATCATCTAGGCCAGATTCACGAAGCTTAGTTATGATTTTGGAGTGATCGAGAATGTATTGTCATTCACTTTTCCCACCACTTGCCCTATTGTGTTTGATATTAATCTCTGAGAATTTCTTACCAAGAATGTTGTTAGAAAATGGTTTTTTCCCATTGCCTCCACACTAATCAAAATATTCCTGATATAACATATTGCTACTTAGCTTAGCTACTTTATCTTCAGGCCATGATACAATATAATCAATTATGAATCGAATGGGATTAGGTAGTTGGTCTCGCATGGTTTCTATTTTCATTTTAGTTGAAGGAATCCTACGTGGCTTTTATCCAGAAAGATTAAGACTAAGCAGATATGATATAAAAGATCTAGACGTATCAGAATGCTCGAGAATCCTTCTCAATTGGTCAAAATATGCAAAATTATTTTTACAGCAGGAAGAGACATCTAAACATACAATACGCCCATCTCTCATTTCTACTCGAATTGGGGCATCATGATTACTTAAAATCATAAATCTAGCAAAATGATTACAATCTTGGGATTCAAGGCCTTTACACTCAATTAATACATAGTTTTCTGTAATAAGGGCTTTTAAATGATCATTTGCTTTATGCTATTCACTACTAGCCATTCCTGTTTCGTTCATAATAATAAGTTTTCATGCTTGGATAGGGCTATTAAACCGTCCAAGAATCTTCCCTAGATCAGAAGTTGAGAATACAAGGTCTGGCCCGAATAAACTTTTTCGAATAAAATCGGTGATAATATTCTTCCCACATCGTGGTGGGGAGCGTAAAACAAGAATCATCCCAGAAATTATACTTGGATACTGAACTAGAAATGCAAGCTATTTTAGAACATATTCAGAAAGATTTTTATTTCTATTGCACCAGATATTTTCTATATGCCAGACGATAGGTTTTACGAGATCATAATTAATTTGAGATACTGGTTTGGCCTTGAATCTTAAGAAAAAATTAAAGAATTTGGTTTTTGGTGAATTAACGTTTAGAGAGTATGGGAGAAAATTGACATCATCATAATGTATTACGCCACTTATGAGGGCATGATTAATCAAAGATGTTAATTTTACTGCCTCACCCCTAGTTTTATTATATTAATTGTAAAATTTGCAATATCTAGTTTAGGCCCCATGTCAAACATAAGTCCACCATTCGGATTTCTATGTTTAAGAATCTATGTTTTCATTTTCTTCTGAACACAGGTGATTGTTGCTTGAATTGCCTCATAGACAATTATATGAAAGAATTTTTTATCTGAGGTATACATATGCAGTAAGTCACCCTATACAAAGTGATCACTAGAATCTGAAATTCTGGATCAGCTTAGTTTTGCAGGACTTGGAAGCTTTTTTTCTCTATCTAAAGCTGTTTCGCTAATGGTAAGCTTTAATGAAGAGTTTTTCGTACCAGGCTGTTTTTCTTGGTTTGCACGATAACAGAAAAAGCTATAAGATTTTTTATTTTATATAAAATATGCATTATCACTTGTGTGTTCTTGATCACATAATGGGCAATATGATGGAAAAATGCGTGATAATAGAAATTTATCAGAGAAATTTTCTGACGGAAATGAGAGATTATAGCCTTCAATATTGGCCTCTTTAAGCAATGTCTCTGCCAACTCGAATTCAGCTTCAGTAGTAATATTACTCATGGTAGAGCATTTTCTTCTGCTTATATTTTCTGAAACATCTAAGAGAGTGCTTTTTATGACTTCTGATTCATCATTTGGCGGGCGAATCATAAAGTTAAAGATTGTTCTATTTTTTGGATAGACAGCTTTTTTTACACGAACATGTTCTTTCATTTCTTCTTTATACTTGGGTGATCCAAGCATCCGCAAGGAGAAAGACCTTTTATTTGCAATGTTATCAATAATGCTTTTCCTCTGTAATTCTACCTGGAGTTTTTTGCGAACAAGTTCAGTAAATACTGCAACCTGAGCAATATTCTTAAGCCTCATACCAGTAGTAGAGATGTGAAGAGATATTTTTTTTGCATCACTACTAGTAGTGACAGTTATACTTTTTTTATCCTACTCTGAATGTATTTTCAGACAAACATCTCTAAAAGCTATTTGAATAGCTTTACAGGCTTCTTTATGTGAAACTTTAGAAGTAATAGCATTTAGCATTTTTATTGGTAAATTGAAATCTATGATAGGACGAAGTGGCTCATTGTCATCAATAAATTTGTGTAATGAATGGCCTTCACGGTCTGAGAGTATGGCTTTGATACTATTCTCACTATCTGTGCCTAGAAAATTCCTTGGTCTAACACTATCATCACGAATTTTATATAAGCATGCATCTATATCAGAAGCTCTTAACCCACAATAGTATGGGCAGGGCCATCCAAATTCTCTGAAAGCCCGGATTGGGTCATGGTAGTATCAGACATTTTTTTGTAGAAATACTAAATCTGTATAGAAAAAGTTTAAAATAAAAATTAATTCCCGACTAAAAAGTAACTAACATCAATTTATAGTATAAAAAGAAACCATCTTAAAAGATGGCATTTTATCATTGTGAATATATTCTTAGAAGCGGAAAAGTCTGTGGATGGGGTAGTTATAGGCCTGAAGGATGCGATTATTACTAGAAATCCCCCAACGTGTACCATGTAAGGAGTGCAGTGAAATTACATTCTCTGCATATGATATATACAAAAAATTTGCAAGGAAGTACCGAAATATGGAATACTATTATCAGCAAAAGCTTGCAAAAATCCAGAATAAATTCCACCAGCAAACCATCCCAGAAAACCTGTCCTAGTTTGCTGGAACAAGCTGGGACGGAAACCTGAGCAGAAAAATATAGCTAAATGGTGATATTAAGCTGAATTAAAGGGAATTTGAATAGCTATCCCAGTTGTCCCAGTTGTCCAAGTAAAATGCAAGATTCTTTATTATTTTTTTTTTTACTTTTTTTTCTATAAGCATACTAACATATATCATACACGTAGTAGTATATACCATAAACATATAGCATAGGATGAATTACGAATTTTTTTCTAGAATTTTTATTTTTACTAGGACAACTAGGACAACTAGGACATAGTGTAAAAGAACAAGTTAAATCAAAGAAAGAAGCTTTTCTTCTATATCAAATTCCGTCCCAGTTCTATCCCAGTTCTGTCCCAGTTGTCCTAATAACTGGGACAGAATTTACTACTATAATCATATCTAGATTACAGTATAATCATAACTAGGTTACATCATAACTAGGTTACAGTATAATCTTAAGTAGGTTACAGTATAATCTTAAGTAGGTTACAGTATAATCTTAAGTAGGTAACAATCTAA